ACTCTGCTGGAACTCTGTTTAAACACTACCTACTTCCAGTTTAGGGGGCACTTCTATAGGCAGCAACACGGCTGTGCTATGGGCTCCCCGGTGTCTCCTATAGTTGCCAACCTGTACATGGAAGAAATTGAGGAGAAAGCCCTGTCTTCCTTCACTGGTACCACTCCCAGCCACTGGTTCCGCTACGTGGATGTCACATGGGTTAAAATCAGCACCCAGGAGGTAGAGGCTTTCACCAAGCATATACTAACTCTGTGGATGGCAACATCAAGTTCACTCGGGAAGATGCCAGAGATTGTGCAGCCCACTTGGGAGGGGACAGAAGCCTGAAGGTAGAAGTATATCGGAAACCTACACACACGGACCAGTACATGCTTTTTGACTCACACCATCCACTTCAGCACAAACTAGGAGTCATCAGAACTCTAAATCACAGGGCAGAGGAAGTGCCCACAACTACAGAAGGGGCCAAGAAGGAGAAACTATACTTCCAGAACCCTCTTAGGGCTTGTGGATACCCTAAGTGGGCCTTCACCAAAGCAAGGAAGAGGCCCAACACCAACAGGGAGAAACCAGAAACAAGAGGGGATAACACTGTCATCCCTTATGTGGCTGGTTTATTATCAGAGAAGTTAAAAAGGATCTTTCACAACCACAATATCCCAGTTAACTTTAAACCAGGGAACACCCTGCGGCAGAGACTGGTCCACCCGAAGGACAAAACACCCAGACATAAACAGAGTGATGTGGTGTATGCAATAACGACTTGTACATTGGTGAAACTAAGCAGCCGCTTCACAAACGCATGGCCCAACACAGGAGGACCAACTCCAGTGGACCAGAGTCAGCAGTCCACCTCCGACCTAGAAATCTAGTCCAGTTGATTTTTTCCAAGTTTTTTTTCAGCTCTTATTATTATTATTATCATTATTTTTGACTTTGAATTTATTTACATTTCTACATATTTACAAAAAGGTTTACACGATCATAGAAAGGACATACATGTACATGTCACTGGTTCTGACAAGAAAGGGTTGGCTTGATAATAATACTTAGCATTATTAGAGCTACAGATTGGAGAAATTGCATCTTGTATTATTAGTAATTTCTATAATATCTAGTACAAGTACTGTTTAAAAATTAAACAACATTTAGAAAAGGAAAAGCCAGAATGTCTTTAAAGGATTTTTAGAAGGATAATACAGAAGAAGAAAACCCTGAATCATGCAGTAGTGTTAGGGGTTATTCTTGAATGCCCTCCCCTTCTTATAGTAATTAACATATTCATATGGATTTCAGGAACAAATTAAATCTAATCAGACCCTGATGTTTCTTTGCCTAATTTTGTTGATTTTACATGCAAAGACACAAGTTCTATACAGAAAACTACATGTAGCTCTATACAAAAAGTGTACTGTACAGCAACGCAAGGAAAGACTGTCATTTCCTAGTGCTATCCCACCTTCACCAGTAGAGTGTGCACAGGAGTAAATAAAGAGACAGAACCCTTTGCAGAAACAACAAGCAGGTAAAAAACGCCTTTTAAGGGCATGAGATTTGCTATATGAGTGCAGTGAGCTGGGTGTGTTGCATTGTAATGAAGCCTTGTAAGACAGTGGATGCGCCCACTTTGGCAAAGCTGAATGTGAAGGTGACGCACAGCCACCTACAGGATACCAGTACTGAATCAGCATGCAGCATAAGATGAGCCACAAAGCTAGAAAAACAGCTTTACAGCTTTGAACCTAGGTTTATAGAGTGCATTTACTACAAAATCGCAAATTCCAAAGATAATAACTGGGTCATGATTTTGAATGAATGAATGAAGTTGACCATGTGCCCCTTGTTTTGACCCCCTACTCAAAGTAACCGCCAGTCTAGATTCTACATATAGTGACTCAAATGCATTATTAGTGCTGAATCACCAACATTATAGTTCTTTCTGCTGTATGCATCATACCCATGTTGATACTTATCTATAGAACATACTGTAGCTTAGCTTGGCGTCTGGCTTCTTGTTCTTTCAGTCTTTAATTCTCCAGCTTTACAAGCTCAGATGTCTGAAGAGTGCAGCAGGCACTTTAATTCTGCTCATCATGCCAAGCCATCATGTAACTATGCAGACTATAAGTAAGGAATCAAAACCTTTGCACTAATGTGACTCATTTTAACCACAAGTGCAAAGAGTTCAATATGGTGCAGGATGTGTGATGATCTGTGTGTAATTTTTGGTGACTACCAACAGAGCACAAAGTCAAAAAAGTACTCCTTGGTGCATAGGCCTATAGGCAGTATTATGCAAGAACATTATTATCTCTTGCCTAATCTTTGATAATCTTTGTGCTCTTGCACAAACAACATAATTGCTCCTAGTTTGATATAAAAAAAACATAATTTGCCTAAAACAGTCAGCTGTCAACTTTTTGTTCATGTAGGTGACCTGGCAACACTGAGAGTATAAGTTGTATTTATGAGTCACAGAGCAGAGTGATAGCAAAGTAAAAGAACTGAAC